GAACAGAAAAAATTCTTGGATAATTTTGGAGCTGACTAGGTGGTGAAACACAATACGAAAATTAGATAAGGTAGTGACAACGGAGAAATGCGATAATTGAATCATCGAAGCATGGTGGCAATAGATGAATTGACCCTTCCAAAATATGCTACTTGTGAGGCTTCATTTCACAAGATGATTGGGATTGAATTTATTCACTAGAAGATAAATAAACTAAAAAATTAATAAGTAAAATATCACATTCAAATTCAAATCATTTCACTTTTTCTCTTTACAAAATTACAAAAAAAATAATAAATTCATCCCAATGACATTTTTAAGCCAGACTAAAATAATTACAAAGTCAAACTCAAACTAAAAACGTTTCACCTGTTTGGCAGCCAACTTTTTATTTTAAAAAAATTAAAATATACATCAACTACACATCATTCTATCACTTTTTTTTTCCTCGCATTAAACCATCCTCGAACGGTGTACCACCATATGCAACCGATCTTAAATTGATCATATCTTTATCACAAAATTTGTTTCAATCACAATATATATAATCTCAACACAAATTGACCATAATAAAAATATCATAATTAAAGTTCACAAATTTTTGTTTATATACATCACCAAAATTTTGAAGATTTCTAACTGTTAATTTGTGACGAAATTACAACATTTTATGATAAAATTATGTTCAATTTGTGGCAGGGTACACTATGGTGCATTACCCTTGGAGGGTGTGTACCATCGGTTTCCAATAAATCCATCCCTAATTAGTCCTCCGACACAAAAACATAAAAAAACAAGTGGGCTAATTTACCTAATTTCCCCTCTGACTTTCATTTGATCCTTATTATTCACATGGCAATACATTTGTCCATTAATTTTTTGATCTTCTGTCAAATTGGTCCAATTTTAACAATGATCCACTTTATTTAACAGAAATTTGATACTCACATTCCAAGCTAACTGAACAAACAATATTCAGCAAGAGCAAGCAGCTGCCAACACAGTGAAACTTTTCAAAAAAAAAGAAAAGGAGGGAATAGTGAGGATGGTTCATCTGCATAGTACAAAACATTCTCTTAAAACTTATTAAAATCACTTTTAAGTCGTTTCAAGAGCATCTGATCGAGTTAAGAAGGGAATTCCCCAACAATTCCTCATTACAGACACCTAGTGTCACCACCTATTGCACTAGGACAAACAATTTTGATATAAGGAATTTCCTTCTATTGTATTGCATATCACAAAATAAATGAGCTTCTCTTTCAGCCTCTAAAATCAACAGTTAAACAAGTCTCAAAACAGATATGTATATATAAAGAGTAAATCAAAGAGAGAAGCAGAATAAAAGTACAAGGCTCTGTCTCTCTGCCAGCGTGATTACTAAATCAAAAGATACAGTAAGCCTATTATTGTCATATAAACTTCGCTATTTTCTTATTCTATTATAATTAATGTGGTAGGTAATAATACTTGAATATATAGCATTAATTATTCATTTCCAAATTCAGGACCTGAAAAATCTGCACGTGTTCCCTCCAAAGAATATTTGACCTTGGCATAATTGTTTTAGAACACTTTACTACATAGTATTCACGAAATGGAAAAAATTCAGGGGATTCTTATAACTGGAAAATTCATTCTTCACTAATCATATCTTGTGGAAAGGCACGGACAGGGTAAGAGTTGAATTGATGGTTAGATAACTGTTGGCAGTGAAGAACCGAAAAAAGGCAAAAAAAACAAACCCGATAGCCAACCCATGAGTTCAACAAAATACACCCTTGTCTTTGGTCAATTAACATCCAGATTGTACATGAGCCAAAATAACTGAAGTAAGTGTAAAGATGTCTATTTGTTGCATTTTTGGCAATAGCTTTTGGGTAAATTATACTGACTTCCTTTGACAATTGAAATAAATACAGTTAAGCCTCTAGTTTGACATACTTACATCCTACTTTTTTATTGTTTAAAATCGCATAAGACATAAAAAAGGATGATGTCATCAAAATTTTAAATGGAAATAGCAATTGGCCTACATTACAAAATTACTCCGATTGAATCAATTTAGTAACACCTCCATGTAACATAACTGTATATACAATGTAAAAATAGTTCAAAATGGACAAAGATAGAACCTAATCTTTTCACTTTGTTTCCAGCAACTGTTTTATCCTCACGGCGACACCCTGGACTCCACCTAGTGATCATGCACTCTTCGACACTATTAACTCTCCAAACACAGTGGAGAAATGACAACAACACCATTTTTATCAATTATGAAGAACTAATAATGTCTTTGCAACACAGCGTATTTGAGCTAGATGGTGATGGTTAGCAATGAAGCACACACCATACTAACATCCCGATCTTACTACACAATATCCTAGAATAAGCCTTGAACAAACCAGGGAATGCTTCTCTCTTGAATTTCATGTACTTGCGTAGTTCCTCATAATTTTTGGTTACTGGGGGCACTGGAGGAAATCAAGTGCTAATTTGTTACAAAGTTTATAAACAAGAATCAGTGAAGGGGTGAAGGAGGTGCAGAAGAGAGAGGGCAATAGATGGAGGTAAGGGTTAACTCAACAATCAATGCTCTGATTCCAAAATACCCTAATTTTAATTCCAAAGGTCCATATTTTGTCCAGTTTTCTGCAATTCTTCTTAGCAACCACACAAATGGTGATAAGGAAATCTCCAAACTAAGGATTAAAGAAGATATTTGGCAAATATCATGCTCACATAACTAATTTTCAAATATACAAACCAAGATACTGTTAGACAATACAACTAAAATTAACTCCAGAAAGAGATAATGGCATAGGCTGAACTTTTCAGTATTCAAGGCATTCTCAAAAGACATACATACTAGGATTGAAATGGAAGTTACTTAGAGCTATCAATATAATGCATTTAACAAGCATAAACCTAAGCAATAATGAATATTCTAATAAGGTGCAAAAGGTACATCTTGCCTGCGCTCGTTCTTCTTTGATTTTTATTTCAGATCCTGGGTTCTATCAGTCCGCTTCACTTTCTTCGCACAGAACCGATCGCTTATAACCTCATCAGAAAAATCTGCCCCTTTATCAAGCAAGACTAGGCTCTCCTTGTAAGTATCCACATCAAATGAATACCAACAATCGCTATCTATAGTACCTTGGACACCAAGATATATAATTCGTTTGCTCTCAGGGTCATAAGAAACCAAATATCCCTCCCTCATCCCCAGAACTTCACCATTCTTTCTCATCCCAATTGGCTTCCTAAAAAATCCTCCGGAAAGATCAATTTTAATTTGCCTAACCCAAGAATCTGCCACACCATACTGTTTCATCATCCATATCGAACAATGGGGGGTTTCACCGTAAGATTTACAATGCTGGATCAGACAAAGGGTTTCACCAAACACAAGAAGGCTCATCTTTTGCATCCATTTGTCCTCACCAGCTATACCCTCCGGAAATGAAATCTCCCCAAACACCTCATCGTTCATGTTGAATGACACAATCAAATTTCGAAAAATCCCACCATGACCATACCTTGGAGTGTGAGCAACCCAATGTGAAACCCCATTGATATAAGCCTGTCGCGATCGCTCTACAACAATATACGGAAGAGCTTTATCACTAATGTTTCTCCAAATTCCAGTTTTTAGAGTGTAAAGCTCAACCTCAGGTGGAACTCTGTTACAATCCAATCCAATATGCACAATTCTAACGACTTTAAAGTCATTAGATATTGAATCAAAGCCAAACCCTAAAGAATGCATAAAAGGCCCGTGTGACCCAAACCTAACATTAGGGTATGGAATCGACACAGACTTCCTAATCAATGGATTCCACAAAAACATTTTATGGTTATAACAGTACTGATCATCAGAAATGCAAATCAACCCATTACAGCTACCAACAAGCCCAAAAGGAGGGTCTATGCAAGTGAATGGAAAATTGAGCTTTGCGTACTCTTTGAATGTGTTGTTTTTTTTGAAACAGCAAGAAAAAGACTTTATTGATGGAAAACCAGTACAATGTACAAAGTGAATTACATCAATAAAGACAAGAGGGAGGTGCAAAGGCATCACAATGGGCTAGATCATCCCAACGAGGTTGGCACCAAACTAGCTCATCCTATCATTTGCTAGCACCCCAGAGTTGGTGAGAGACCAACGAGCAAACACCAAAATACAAAAGGACCTTGCAATCACCCAAACCCAGCATAACACTCTCGAACCTCTCTCTAGTATCACCACTATTAACAGAGGTCCTTAATCAACCAACAGAATTTTGTTCTACCTGAAACACTCCCAGGACTCCTAGGACTCACACCAATTCAGACCATCACAGCCCTTAAGTTGGCATAAGAAACCTACTGCAGGACATAACAGCCCACCTCATCCATCCACCTGCAGGACCACACCCAAACTTACCCAAGATGGGCACACAACAATCAACCCAGATGACAGCAGTAAGCACCAGCAGATAAAAAAAACAGAAACAGACCCTTTGCATAGCAGAACAGAACAGACCCTTGCGCTTACCATTGCAGCCACCAGAGGATCGTCGCAGCGTAGCGAGTAGTGTTCTTGTTGGATGGGATCTTCAGTGCAGTAGCGAAGTAGGAGGTGAGTACTGTTAGGGTTTGAAATGGTTCGATTGAGGTGGTGAGAGATGAAACTAGGGCTTGTAATGAGAGAGTACCATGACTTGCAAACCAGTGTGAATCGGACGAGAGTCTCTGCGGGTAGCCTCGTGAGGATATCGATCAACAATTCTCGAGGTATGTAGTCCGACATTGCCTCTTCTTTTGTGCAGTTTTTAGGGTTTTGAGGATCACGTAGCCATATTTCAGGCGAAATACAAACCTTTATTCCTCTAATATCTTTTAATTATTTCACACAATATTATAATTTCATTTTTTTCTATTGTTACTGTTCGTTTTGTTGTGTTTTTTTTTTTTTTTTTTATAGCAATTTTTTAATTTTTTTACTTTAATTTCTCAGTTTATTCTTCTTCTTTTTTTCGATAGTATTCTGAATATTTCATTAAGTCTCCCACAATATTCTTGATGTCTAGTGAACATTCTAAACATTCTCATGACGTTTAGAACATTCCGGCGACACTCCGACAAATTTCCAATGATATTCAGTGACTTTCCGGTGATATTGAACATTCCGGCAAATCTCTGATAACCGTCTGATTGAAGTCCGGCGGTGGTGAAATGCAGCAATGCCTTTAAAAAAAAATTTTAAAAAATAAGATTTTTTGGTAACAATTAAAAATATATAAAACTAATTGGTACAAGTGTTTTGTTTTGAGATTAGATGAATTTTAAACTTTGTGTATGAGACTTATCAATAATTTCCTCTTACATAAAATCTAATGTTTAGGTCAAGTGGGCATGAGGGTTGGTTTGGCAAGGGCTCATTGGGCTTTTTTGGCTCAATGAGCCATAAAAGATAGAATAGGCTCATGAGTCACAACAGACAAAACATCACATCCAACCCCATAATCATTACACTCTTCTCTCATAAAAAAATTAAAAAAGTCAAAAAACCAAAAACCCTCCCCAAACTAAGCTTTTGAGCCTAGGCTCATATAGTCAAAAAAGTCAAAAAAGTCAAAAAGCCAACCCACTACCCAAACGGAGGCTAAATATAAAGTCTCTTAATAGTTAATAGATAGTGTGAACTTAGCCTAGTGTGGTCAATGTCTACCTCTTATTATTACATAGAAATTAGCTTTAAATACGCCACAGGAAAAAAAAATAAAAATAAAAACTGAGTATTTAAAAGTTAGGAACAAGTACTTTTGATTTTTACTTTTTTTTCCTTATTAACTTTATACTTATAATAAACTATAACAAACCTACTCAGTGTAACATATTAGTTAAAAAATTGAACATAAATTTAAATTTAAAGTAAAAATGATCTAATTAAAAGAAGTGAACCATCTAGAATTGCACATAAACCTCTCATTTACTTTCAAGATAGTGAGAAAATATTTTGTTCTAATATTTTGTTCAAGAATTGCACATAAACCTCTCATCTTAATATCAAGGATCTTAAAAAAAATTCTTTTAAAATTAAAAATTCGACTATGAAATTTTTCTCAGTGAAAATGTTTAGGATCCGTTTCAGAATTTGAATATTTTAATTGGCTTTTTGACTATTTGACTATTTTTACTTGGCTAAAATTGTATTTGGAATGATAATCAGTGTATTTGGTTTCAGCTTTTTGAGTTGAATTTTTTGTTTTTCGTATTTTTTTTTGTTTTTATTGAATTTTTTTAAAATTTTAAACATTTTTTTGATTACTTTTTTTTAGATGCACCTTACTTAGGTGTATCTAAAAAGTAAAATATTTGTAAAAAAATATTTAAAAAAATTAATAAATACATAAAAATATGAAAAATATATATATATTTTTTATATTTTTGGTATTTAGTTAATTTTTTTATTAAAAAAATCACAAAAATTATACTTTTTAAGTGTATTTATGTTAAGCGTGTCTAAAAATTTTTAAAAAATTACTTAAAATATTAAAAAAATTTAGTAAAAACAAAAAAAAAATACGAAAAATAAGAAAGTAGAATTTTTTGAAAAGAGTTTTCAAAAATTAGAAACAAACATGGTGATTAACTTTTTTTTAGTTGATTTAATAGTTGTGAAAGAAAGAGTGAAATGATTGTAGTCTGGATGTAACATTTTGTTTTATTGATTATTTTAACCTGTTTTATCTTTATTAGCTATTTTAACCAAAAAAATTGTACCCCAAACAGGGCCTTAGAATGAAAATGTCACATTAATCAATTGTTATATAACATAAAGAAAAAAAATATTATTATATAGGGATTTAGATTTGTGTAAGAGATCTGAGTTATACATATAATAAAATATTTTTGTGTCACGTCAATGTGTTATTTTTTATTTAATTTTGAATAAAATTAGTTTATGAAGTAAATTAAAAAAAATCTGAAATTCAAAAAGTAAAAAAAAAGAATTAAATGCTAAAATAAGAAAACAGTCAAACATCAAAAAACTAAAGTCTAATTTATTTTAAAAAGTATAACAAATTATATTTACTATCCCTACAATTTGATTCTCGCTTCTGTACAGTCATTTTCATTCTAATTATATTCATTTTATTCATTACATTTTTTTGCACAATTTAAAGTCAGTGTTTTATAATTTATTAGGGGTGAGCATGGCCCAGATTGGACCGGATTGGAGTAAAACCAGGACCAATTCGTTATCTACAGATCCTAAAAAATTGGAACCAATCCAATCTGTTTAAATCGTGGAACAAATCCGAACCAATCCATTTAAACACGGATTGGATCAGTTTAGGACCACGAATTTATATAATTAAATAACAAAAAATATATATACAATACTTTAATTTCATAAAAATATAAATATAGCACCATATTAGTTTCACAATAGCAACATGTCTTTTCATAATAGTAACAAATTGTTCTAGAATTTAAACAACTATAAGAAAACTAGTTTTACCATAAGTATTTAGACCATTACAAATTAACACTAAAAACTAGCAAACAAAAGTAATAAAAGAAGATACTATGCAAGTTTAAGTTTGGATTTAAGTTTTATAAGAAATAAGAGAAGATACTATGCAGGAGGGTGTATAATAAAAATATAGGCTATTTGTATACGGTCCGGATCGGTTCCAATCCGGAACCGTGGGGTTCAATCCGGAATCAATCCGTGAACTACGGATTTTTAATTTTTCAATCCGGAACTCGAACCACGGATTCAAAAAACTAATCCAAACCTACTGGATTGGACTGGACTGGACTGGATCAGATTGCAGATTTCACGAATTCCTTACTCAACCCTAGAATTTATTTTAATTTTAGAATTTATGTCTAATTATTTTAAGTGTAATTTCTACTTATATGTTATTAGAACATCTCCAATACTAACATTTTGTGTTTATTAGTGTCAATCAATAAGTAAATAACAAAGACAAACTTTTGGCTTATTTTAGTCTTTAGTGATTGTTTTTTAGAATTTTTCAAAAAAAAAAAAAACTTAGATTCTTCTGGACAAGGTAGACCGATAAAGTAAAAAATTTTGACATAATTTTGAAAAAAAAAAATACTAAAGACAAAAAAAATTCAAAAAAAAAAAATTGACTATTTTTTTTTTTTTGGGCCAAAATGGACCTTAGTATGGAAGAACATCGATCTAACCCATTAGCCCACCCAACCTAACCCTATTTTTTTAGGACTTAGAATTTGTATTTTGGCCCATAAATCCGAACTAGGCTTGTTTTTAAGGCCCATTTAATTTTAGGGTCAGGACGGTCTCCAGTCCAGATCTGGGACACTCCGGTCCAATTCGGCCCATTAAACCCACTTTTGGGTTCCTTTTTGATAATGCGAACCGTTCACATATTAGAATTTGTTGAGTACATTATCCTTGTAAAATATTACGTCGATTAGATAACAGATACTATATATTCAGTCACTTTTGTCTGGAAAAAAATGGACGGTCAGAAAATTAACGATCATAAAAAAGTGATCCGAATACATAGTATCCGTTATTCGATCTACGTGATTTTTTTACAGGGATAACGTACTCAATAAATTCTAAAATGTGAACGATTTAGATTATCGAAAGAGATTTAAAAGTGGGCTCAATAGGCCGGATTGGACCCTCCAGTCCAAATGGTGAACTGGAGGCAAGCCCCTGCCTAATTTTACAATTAAGCTTGGATTTAGATCGTTTAGTTCAATTCAGTCTGACCTACTAATAAAATACTTATATTTAGTACAATCTAGATTTGGATACTTATTTGCTTGGATAAGACCTGTAATGACCCAATTTTTTTTAAAAAAAAATAGCCAGTGCATAATTTAATTGAGCAAATTTTTGAATTTGATTGTTGTGTAAATTTTGTGCGAAAATAGTTCGGTTTTATATTTTTTTAAAAATAGTTTTCGATCTCAGAAAATTATGAAATTTTTATATGTTGTTCCCATATGAGTCTAGCACGTTGGATAAAAATTACATAATTAAATGATGAGTATTTATTTTATGAAAATTCAAGGACTGATTGGTGTCCAGTTTAATTTATAACAGAATTTGAAATTGAGTTTTGAGTGTTTGGATCAGGATTTGAGATAAATTTGTTCGGTCTATTTTGGTGTATAATTGGACCATGTTTGATTTATGGGTGAGACTCATGATTTAGATTTAATTTAATTTGAGTTTGTTTAGTAACTCATGTTTAACTGTTTGATCTTTTTTAATTATGTGATTGGTAGTAACCACCTTGGGAGTTGTTATTATTTATTATATAGGGGTTATAATAAATATTTGATAGTTGATTTTATGGTGTGTACCATATGACGAAAAATTATATATTTTATAAATAATGAAAATGCGTATATTTCGTAATGAACAAAATATTATATTTTGTGATGTATAAAAATGTTATATATTGTGGTAAGGAAAATTATATCATTTTATAATTTATATTATAAAATTTTAAGGTATTATTACAAAAATTATATTTTTCTTTCGGAGAAACTAATTTTGGAGAAACGAACCCACTTGGGGTTGTCCCCCACTCCATGCCCCTGGCTTTTCTTTTGTTTTTCGCTAGTCTCTCTCTCTCTCTCTCTCTCTCTCTCTCTCTCTCTCTCTCTCTCTCTCCTTCCCCGTCTCTCTTTTCCTTTCTCTTTTCTCTATTTTTGCTCAAGCTTCAAGCTTGAAATGAGAGTATTTAGAGTGAGATTTTGCAAAAGTGTTGTAAATGAAAGTTAGAG